ATATCATAAAATATGTAAAAAAAAAATGATTCATCTCTATAACGCGAGGGTCCGATCATGAAATTAAATGTCATTTGAACATTTATTTTAAAGGTTACTATGCCCACTAATATTATAACTTAAAACTACTGTACGCATTTTCGTTTTTAATTATTAATTACAACAAAAACATTATTTTATACATATATTTTTATTTTATTTGTCAGTTTCCCTGCTGTGCGATTTCCTTGACTCAAGATAAACAACTCTCATGAGTATGATGACATTAAATATGATAAAAGCTAGATTTGTTTATAAAAATAATGTTTTTTTTTTAATGGGTTCTTTTTTTGTTAATAAAAAGCTTTTGGGTTTCAAGCTTCGCTTGAGGTAGTAAATAAATGGCTTACCAGATTAAAACCAACCTATTAGTAAATATATAACCGAATTTTGTTTACTACCGGCAATTTTAATAGCAATCCAATTCAATTTTAAGCTCCGCCCCTGCATACAGGAGTGCGTAAAAGGTTCAATGAACCACAACGTAAATGGAAAGGGCATTACAGGGTTGCTGAATTACCGGTCAACGTTCGACACTCGTTTCCACAGCATTCATATGCAACGAGAGCGAGCCGACTCTGCTGCAACATCAGTATCATGAATGGGTTGAATGTTGTATTGGTTGCATCGCCCAAAGCGGTCAGGCGGAAAGCAAAAGTTGCCGCATGTGGCGTTCATTTGTATGTGCATGTTTATGGGCCAAAGCTCGGCTTGCTGCTTATACAAACTTCATAATATGTTCGGCCGCCGTGCAGGAAGCTTTTACAGGCCGGCGTCGCTGCATGCGCGCCGAAGCTTCGTATATAACTCGGACGCTTGGAGCATCCCGCGTCCATTACGTTGTGATAAGTCGTCGTGTAGAGAAGAACCCATCAACAAAGCCCGCAGCAGCTGCAGCCGATTCGCTCTTCGTGTGCTTGTGCGTGTGTGTTCGCTTGTGTGTGTGTAAATTAGAGGCTTCAGTTGAGGAAACTCCATATTGGCAATATATTTCGCATATCGCATCCGATTTCGAGCGGCATCATGTCAAAACAGCCGACAGTTATATTGCTGCTGCTAATCGCTGCGGTTGCGCAGGAGACCGCAAAATGTGTAACGGCCGCGCAAGATTTGCGTAAGTAACTTTAGCAGCAACATTAACAGTAACAAAAACAATAACAGCAAGTGCAAATTGCTTGCAACTTGTGATTTCGTTGGCGATGCTTTTATTATTTGCGCATTAGGTTTTGGCTTTGCCTTTGGCTTTGGCTGCTTTTGGGCCCACCAGCGCTGTTTATGGCCAAAACGTGATCAATATTGTTTATGTGTGGTTAGTTTATTTTGGCTATCGGCCCGAAGGTCGCGTACATTTTCTAATTGGCCGCCAGGGTGACAAGTTGGGCATGCAAAATCCATGGGCCATCGATATGCAGCGCGCTGCAATTGCATCGATAGGCGCCAATGGAATTGTTATGCAATCGAAACAGGTTGACAACATAATGGCATATAGTTATCGGCAAACGGGTTTGCATTCAGTCAGTCAGTCAGTCAGTCAGTGGACCAGACCACTTCCGCTTGCTATGACACATATTTTAAGCCTTGTTATGCACATGTAGTGTTAGGTATCATAGCTTTGTTGCCGTAGGTCATGAGTGGCTTTGTTTTCTCGCAACATCTTTGTGATAAATACATAGGCATGCGCGCTTCGACTTGACATTGAGAGACCCATGAATATGCTGGCTCATTTGTTGTTTTGTTGCTACATTTAAGACTTTGTTGGAAACTTGTTTTGTGGCCAACGAACTCTATCTGAAGTACTTGCAGTCATTGGGCGCTCGCTGGTTTAATGCTGGCACAATTACACACTACCAGGCGCGGGACTTCCGCAAACAGTTTCAATGTCATGATCAAACTCATTAAAATATATATTTTGATTTCAGCCGACAACTTCCCCAAATGCAAACGCGACGAAAACTTTGACAAGTGTCTGGTGGATGCTGTTAATCAGGCCATACAATTGCTCAAAAGTGGTTAGTACGGATACCTAGTCGAATCTATACCAACTTAATAGATGCTCCTTGACTGCCAAACTAATTTAACTATTGACAGGCAATAAAGAACTCGGCATTCCGCCACTAGAGCCGCTGACCGTGAAGAAACTAGTTATAGACGCCGGTAATGCGCCTATAAATCTTCGTCAAGCCTTGAAAAATGTGAAGGTGCATGATATGATCTCGACTAGCAAGATCCAACGCTATAGGTAATTAACAGATTGCCAACAATTTCGACCCAATAACAAATCTCGTTTCCCTTCCTCTTTCAGAACCGATTTGGATAAGCATTTAATTATCTGTGATAGTAAAACCGATCGCATTGAGATGATAGGCGATTATGAAATGTCTGGTCGCATTTTACTGCTGCCGATTACTGGCCATGGCAAAGCCAATATTACACTTGTCAATACCAAAATCGAGCACCGTCTGATTGGAGAACCCTTTGAAAAGGATGGTGTTAAGTACATGCGACTAAAGGAGTACCGCGTGGCCATGGATCCTAAGCGCGTTTATTTACATTTTGAAAACCTCTTTAATGATAAAACTCTATCTGAGGGAATGAATCGCTTCCTGAATGAAAACTGGGAGACGGTCTTCAACGAATTGAAGGTTGGCTACTCCAAGAGCTTTGGTCTGGTATTCCGAGAGCTTTCGAATAAAATTTTCGAGAAAGTACCCTTTGATAATATATTTTTAAGTTAATTTTGATGTGACTGGCAAGTATGTGTCTAACTTATGTATTTTTTAAATTAATTAATAAATTCTAGTAAACGGTTTTATGTTGTGAAAAAACCTTATTTTGACTCAAATCGAAAATTATCGATAATTGTATTCTCCATAATCAATGTTTCTGTCGCATTGCCTAAGAATTTTAAATTTAAATTGGAAGCTTTCATCCACTTACAACACTTTTGGTTTTAAATATAACGAACTTTTTTTAAATTAAAAATATATTTGCGCCTCTTTGTGAATCGATATATATCCTATCGCTGCATCGCGATGAATCGGACGCTTTACCACACCTAATCTTGCAGTTTTGGCACTTTCTATGCGCAAAAATATTCCTATTTGTTTAAACAATTAACCTAATATTTCTGCAGAGTGCACAGACAAACGTTGCACCTGCCTGCATGGCAGAGAAAATGACTAGCATGGACGGCACAGTGCCGGAGGCCAAGTATCACAAACTGGCGAGTGAATACTCAAAGGTAACGCAAACAGCAACAGTTTACGCCCCATTCGCAAGCGCATTAATCTAATTTAATCCACATCCGCCCACGCACATAGCTGCGCGCCCAAGCGCAAGTGTTGAAGAAGGCTGTGCTAGATGAGCAAGCGAAGGAGGCGAACCTGCGCGAGCAACTGCAACAGAACGCAACATCGCTGAGACGAACAGAGCAGGAGGTGGACTCGCTTGGTTTTCGCAATAAACAGCTGGAATCGCGGGTCTCGCAGCTGCAGCAGGAACTAGCCGTGCACGACCAGGCGCATAAGAAAAAGGAGCCCATTAGGCGCGCGCTTTTGGGCGGCAATAAACCGGAGCCACTGAGTGAAGCCGCCAACTTAAACGCAGCGCAAGAAGCGCTTATATTCGAGGAGCTGCAGAGAAAAATAATGGAAAACGCACAGCTAACATCATTGGTACCACGCACACGCCCTTACATACAATAATTTTATAACAATTGCCGCCCGCAGATTGATGATAGACAACGCGACTTGTTGCTGCATACAGAGCGCATTTCAGAACTGGAACAGAAGCTGGAGAAACGAATCGCTGACCAGAACGAATTGGAGAAACGGCTCCGCAAAGAGGTAGAAACGCTGCAGCAAAGAAATTGTGAGCTCGAAACAAAGTTGGTAGATGCTGCTAGCATGGTGAGGTCTAAAGAAAAAAAATCCTTGAAATAGTTAGAGCTTTATTCTTGTGGTTACAGCTTGGCAGTGAAGATGCTTTGAGCGCCACTGGCAGTGATAGCACCCCGCTGCACAATCCGCAACAGCAGCAACAGCACCAGCTTAACACCAACTTGGCCTTAACGCTCACTGCCGAAGAACGCATTGCGCTACTGGAAAAGGAGGCGGCGCACTGGCGGGCCCAGTACGAGGTGACGAAACTTCATCAGAGCATAAACTCGAACACAAACGTGGATCTCAGCAAAACAGTCGATGCCAGCAGTATTTGTAGCTGTAGTACAGCTGCAGCGGGCATCACCGTGAAACCATGCTGCCTGGAAAATAAGAGCGGACAGCGTGTGCGCGATTCGCTGCAGGAACCGCCAGAGCCACCTACCAAGGAGCAACTTATATACAGCGTGTTTAGCAAAAGGTACGAAGATTTATTGCGACTGAAGGCTGTGGCCGAGTCGCGTCTGCGCTCATTTGAACAGGAGGCATTGCATTTGCAAATCTGTCTGGAAAATGCAACGCAAGAACTGAAAGCCAAGGATGAACAGCTGTCCAGCCTAGGCGGTGCACTTCAGATGCTCGAGGAGGAACTGGTAAGCGAGCCACATACTGCCTGTGATTGGCACTGAATCTAAATCCTTACAGACCACGACTCGCATCAACTATGAGGAGCAAATCAGTGTCCTAACGGAGCAAGTGATAAGCTTAAGTGAACAACTGGCTGCTTGCAAATGAATGTCTGCCTGTCGCACTGCTTTATATTGTATATTATTTAAAAATGACCCGGCCACTGTCCAACTTAGCAACTGGCTATGTTACTACTGCCCTGTTGCCGGCTTATTGGTTATTGGATTATCGTGTTCTCCGGGCTGTAAGACTATTAAGAGGAATGATAACTGGCGCTTAAGACCTGCACATGACCGATAAATCGGAAACCCATTGACCAACCAGCTGTTTAAGGGGCAGCATGCCCTTTTTATAGATTAATGCTCGGTGCAGTGTGTATGTACATACCTGAACATATAAATTTATATCTGTATGTTTGAATATTTCGCTAAAGTTTAACAAGCAACGTATAACATAATTCTTATTTACAATTTAACTGAGAACGACGAGCCACAGGAGCAGCCCTGCTCGGCTAACGGATTGGCAACCATGCGAAACCCAGCTCTTATAAGCTCGCTTTGGTAGTCTACGGTAGCACCAGTGCAGTAGTCCAGCGAGACTGTATCAATCACGACTTTTGCCTGCTCCTCTCCAAACTGTAGGTCATCCTCATTCAGCTTGTTGTCCAAATCAAATTTGTATTGAAATCCAGAACAACCGCCGCCCTCAACAGTAACGCGCAAAAATGAACCATCATTGCATATCTCACGCAAACGTTTCAAACAACTTTCACTCAACTGCAGCTGCTGTTGCGTATTTGTTGTGGTGGCTGCGGCGGCATCTTTGACGGCTGGACGCAATTTTGTTGCCGAATAGAACAAATTTCTGTGAAATATAATTATTGTGGACTGCTCCTAAGTTCATTCTTGCTTATAATTACCTTTGCAGCGCAGGTCTTGCAAGCTGACGCAACATGAAAGCCATTACGGTAATGCGATAAGCCCAAATAGTAAATTAATTTGGAAGTATAGTCTCTCGTAATCAAAACAAAAGTGGGAACAGCTGTTCTTTTGACGTATGCGATGTTTTTGATGCTTGCCATAATCGATAAGTTCAGCACAGCAATAATACATCGATAAACGCTCGAATACATAACTGTGTGTGCGCTTGCGCTTCTTTTGCTGGCTTGCCGAGGAATTTTGAACGTTGGCTTTTGATTTTGTAGTCAAAAAGTGTTTTTTGTTAAGTGTTAGTAAATGTTTTCAGTGTTTAGTACAAGTTTTAACTGACAATGGCGCTAAAGATGACAGTAAATGGTAAAGTTGATGCAAATAGCAAGCAACGCAACCGATTTCTTGCCGATCCCGAGCGTGTTAAAAAAGATCTCGAAAGCGAGCGTCGCATAACTCGTTTACAACAGGTAAGACGCAGTTACGTTTTTAACGCTTACATTGTAAAATTTCGAACTCAAACTTGTTTAGGTGCGTGAGAAATCGAACAGCTTGGCTCGCCACATACGACAAGAGGTGGCTGCAGAGCAAGCGCGTCAGGTTCAAAACCTAGAGCAGATAAAACAGAAGGAGCTAGATACGTGGCGTGAGCATGTTATGGCCAAAAAATACCAGGACTACCGTACCTCAATGTTTCAAGTGGGCGCCGCCCATCGTGCCGCCCAGGCTGAAACCGAAAGCACCGAACAACAAAAGCAGCTGCGTGCGGAAAAAATGAAAAAGTGTCGTCGCCTCGCTGCAAAGCGTGCTGTAAAACACACGCCCGCAAATGTGCTGCGTTCCACGGGAGGTAAAGAACTCAATGTGGAGGGACGCGCCACAGCAGGCACACAGACGCCAGTACAAACAGAAGAAAACGGGCATGTGGGCAAAGAGAACAGGCTGTGCAATAAACAAGCCTGTAAAGTTTCGAACAGGCAAAGTTCTTTTAAGCGGAAACGCCATACATGTTGTCAAAGTAATGGCCAAAGCGACAACAACGATGAGGTGGAGCTCGAAACGATCTCTGACAGTAGCACTGATGAGCACGAAGCGCAGCCAACTGTAAACGAGGCGAGTGGCAGAAGACTGGAAAAGACGCCGCCAGTTATTTTAGATGTGGACATTGAAAGCGAAGATTCGCTCGAGATTTGCGCACGCGATGGCATCGAGATAAATGATTTGTATATGCAAACGAATCGTAAATTTAGTCGCGTGGTGCGTCCCACTCCCACAAGTGCCTCTGAGCTTCAAAAGCGCTCAGCCGCTGCAGCGTCATGTGCTATTCCTTCTCGGCCACGTTTCACCCAAATCACAGACTTGGTACGACGCACTACACTAGACACAAAAATGTCTTTGGAAAGCACGCAAAGACAGGCGCATGAGCAACAAATTCACATGCCCCGCAGTCCCACGAGGTCCTTGCCTCGTTCACCCAGCAAAACAACTATAACAGCCGCAGCACCAGCGCTTTCTTCCAATGTGTCACCTACTAGAACAGTAACAGAGCAACCAATTCCCTCAAGTCGTGCACCAACAATACTCCCATCCGACAATCGCCGCCAGTCTACGCAGCTGCAAAAGCGTTCCTCATTGAGGCCCAACAACAACAAAGACTCCGCTCCTGCTAAGGTCATAGATGCTGGTCTCAGAGGTAACACGGAATCAGCGCAACCGAAAGCTACAGTGGAAGCATCTACTGCAGCCAGCACCGTGCAGCCAAGAACGGCAAAGCCTATGCCAGAGCCGGCTGTACAACAGCCCCGCATGCATCACCCAATGCAACAGCCGCCTATGCATCAGTTGCCCCCCATGCAGCAGATGCCTATGCAACAGACGCAGATGAATTCACTGCCTCCTTTCTTACACCCGCATGCTATGTATGCACCGCAGATGATGCCACCTTATGCCATTCTACCTTATCCTATGCAACCATATCCCATGCAAACCGTATGCCAATACGCTCCACAGCCCGCTCCTCAACAGCAACAGCCCGTAACCACTTCGACCACCAGTACATCTGCAACTCCAGTAAGCACCACTGCCAGCCATTCCACAGTCTCTACCACGACATTTGTGATGCGTCAGGCACAGAGCGGTGAGACGAATGCAACTGGACACGTTCAGTTCTATGACCACAATAACAAATATCGTCGCAACTATAAGGCGCCCGCGCAGGCCGTACAGGTCAATCCGCAGGATAGCACGCGCCTGAATGCCATGGATAACGCACGCATCGAGACTCAGTTGAGGCAGTTACGCGAGCAGGAGTTAAATAATTTACGGTAAGGCTGATAAGTCTATTTAAGAAACTGATATCATCCCTCTTGGTGAGGAGGGAACAAGTGAGGGTGGGGATAGTTTTTCACGAGGACATTAGTAGTTACGAGTTACATAATTCTCCCCACCTATCTGTAAAATCCTAAGACATGCGTCATCAATTTATTTAATTTTCGACTAGCCGAATAGCCGTGATTCTTGTGCTATTTTATGACAGTCACGACTCTGTTACCACGACTATCACAAAAACATAATATATATATATTTTCCAATTATTTCGTAGCCAAGTCACCGATCAACGAGGACAAAAGGCGCTGCAACGCGAACAGGTGCGTCGCGATTGTGCCGAGTTGACGGAGAAGCTGGAAGCATTGACGCAGCAGCAGCCCCAGCTATTGCCCAGTGACGTGAGCTAAAAATATCTTTCGGTTAACTTGTACAGTGTTTCATTTTTAAATCCTTTTCGAACAGGCAAACTTTGTTCCCAGCCATCGTTTCGCCGATTTGGCGTTGCGACGTGAGCAGAAAATGAACGCGGCAATGGAGGAGATGCTGTTGCGTCCAGCCATTGTTACTTGTCCCGAGGTAACAGTCACCCGGCACACTTCACCCCGCAAGGCGGGAGCCCACACCAAATCCAGCGCGGCGGAGGCTATCAATGTGGGCGACCCGCCGGCAAACAAGGCAGACGATGTTGTCAGTACCGGCAGCTGCTGCTCCATACTGCTAGACTATGTAGATGATCAGAGCAAGCAGCTGCGCACAGAGCTCAAGAGCATGCATGCCGATACAGCTAAATCCATTAAATTGAAGAGCTTGTTACAACGCATCGAGAAAATACGGGCACAGCTACTGGCCGAGCTGCAAGCGGGCGAAATGAACGGTGACCATGCACAACAGGTTATCGATTCCATACGCAAGGAACGCGCCAACATACACAGAGGCACAGCACGGGATATAAGCCAGCGTGAGATGGAATTGCAGCAGAAGGAGGAGTTGTTGGAGCAACGGCTGCGTCAATTGTACAAGCAGCAGCAAAAAGTCAGTAGTCAGCAGGAACGCAGAAAAAAAGGGGACGATGGTCCCGTAGAGATTATAATCAAGGTAAAGAGCGACGGAACCGTTAAGCATCTTGTGCCCAAGAGTAAGGCTCAGGACAAACCAACCCCAATAGTAGCAAGTGACCAAACCAACAAGCCAACGCCGACGCCAACTACATCTTCGTCTGCGCCCACTGAGGGGGCTTCTACAGCTGCACCATCGCAGGAAGCTGTGCAAAATCAACGGCAGAATTCCATAGATTCCAATTCTACATCGTATCGCGAATTACCGCCTGTTAACTATAAGAACATTAAGCAAGTAGATACAGCTCGTCCTCAGCCCGAACCCCTGCATCCGATGGTCGCTCACTATGTGCAGCGATTACTTGGAATGTCGCGCAACTCCATTGATCAACTGGGAGCTAGCAGTTCGGAAGTGCCAACGCCTTCGGAATCGATCATCAATAATCCACGAAATATTTCATCTGGCTCCACGGTGAATGAAACACTTATTGACAATCAGCGCGTTGAGCGTGTGCAAGCCTTTATCCGGGACAATCGTAGTTTCGTCAATGAGCTCGAAGACACGCTGCGCAATCAGCAGAAGGAACAGCGACAGCAGCAAGAACAGGAAAAGCTGGATAAGGATCAAAGTGAGCGAAGTTTCAATCAGCTCTGGAACAGACGTAGGGCAAACCAGCAGCATCACCAGAAGGACCAGGCACAAATTGGAGAAACGGAGCGACCTACGACCAGTAGTCGGGCAACTACTGGAAGACGACCAGGTCCAGTGTCTCTGGAAGAAGTGAGCGCAAAGAGTACAACACGTTCGCCGGCTAATAAGGCGCCACAACAGGTGAAGCCCAATCAGATAACCATTACTGAAGCAACGACCACTACACGCCATACGGAAAAGCAAAGGCAACGATCCATGGAGCCGCCCAGAACAAGCCTGATAAGCCAATCTCAGGTTACCAGCGAGCAGACTGCAACACGTCAAATGGAACGCTATGCCCAGCTCACGGAAAACTGCACACAGCGCATTGCGGAGCTAACCGAACTGATAACCAAGGTGCGAGAGGAGAAGCAGCGACTGGTAGAAGTCACGCTGACCTCGGCTAGCGAGGGAGAACGCCATTCCACAGAGTACTTCGACTTGCCGCCGTTACACACACAGGAAAAGCCGCAAGAGCAGGTCCGCTCTCGCACAATATCGGACCGCAGTGATAGCCAGGATACCACGCCATCCCACTCAGAAGCGCTCCCGCTGCAAAAGCACAAACCAACGGGCGCCAGTCTTGATAGCGGCATCTCTATTTCACGCCCAATTACAGCTATGGGCCAGGAGCCGCCCGAGGTGGAGCCCATATCGTTGGCCTCATCCACACAGAGCAACGCGCCGCGCCGTGGTAAAGTTCCGCCTGCCACAATACGTCGCTACAGTCCACAGCTGGCGGCAGAGGAACTGGCTCACGAGCTGTCAACTATTACGGAAGTGGACACACCGGCGCAGTCGCATATTGTGGCTGCAACGCCGGCACTTATGCCCTTTCCCAGCTTCGATCAGTACGCACAGGAGTTGCAGCTAGATCTGGCACATCTAGACACGGATCAAAGCATGCGCTTGCAGCGCGAGTTCCATGAACTCATCCAAGCCATCAAGCAACGCGGCCATGGTCTAGACTATCGCGAATTTCCCAGCATCAGTGCCTATTTGCATGAGATTACCACAACGGAGACACATGTACATGTCGAGACGGATCC